AGAGAGAGAGAGAGAGAGAGAGAGAGAGAGAGAGAGAGAGAGAGTTCTTCTTCTTCCTCTTCTCAGTCCACCATCTCCCTCTCACCCTCTCGCTACCTGACTTCACTGCATCAGCAGGCTACAAAAAAGAGCGGGATTGGTGACATTTGGATCCAGACTCAACATTGGGCTTCAGACATTTGACGAGGGATTATCTGGGACTTGTACCGAGGACTTGGTGTTAACGACATTCCCATCTTCCCCCTCTTCTTCGTCTGATCCCCTCCTCTTCGTCTGTGTATGGTCTGGACCTGGCACATTCTTCCTGTGTGTAGCATCAGGCCCCTTCACACCTTGTGATGGGGATGATGTATGTTTGGTCTGCATTGCGACATTGATTGGGCTAGTCATGGGTATTCTAGCATTCCGCTGCACTGTCTTGTACTATGTGAGAGATGTCAGTCCCGGACAGGTCAGGGCTTATATCTAAGTCTTCCACTGCGCTACAAAGTGCCATTTTGTATGTATCAGGATGTACATTGCTTGTTGAGATTCCACTGACATCGCATTGTTCATTCAGTCCTTTTTATCACATTGCGGATCCTTGGCTTTACATACATTGCTCAACTGGGCATGTAACAATAATGACCGGGCGTTCTATTCGGGTGAAGACGGTAGCAGACAATTTGTTGTCAAAGACAGCTTACCAGTAAGCGAATGAAAAAAGGATAAGGAGAGAAAAAGCTGACAGCCAGAACTGCCCCCAGGGGGTTAATGGAGAAATACTAAAATAAAAATAGACATGGTTTGTTATTTGAAAAGAAGAGAAAGGAGAGAGACATGAAGATAGATAAAAGGCAGAAAAAACAGGGATGGCAGATGGATGGAGAAGTCATGGGAGGATGAGAGGGGGAAACGAAAGCCACGACTTGTCAAAGGGGATATAGGAGATTGTGTGCTACTGTTTGTCATGACATACGAATTTTGAAGATTGAAATGTTGGACTGGGGGAAGCCCAAGAGACATATCAGGGAAGACGGAGGGTGTCTAAGGGGCCACATCACGTTGGTGGTGACTGGCATCCAGAGTGGATATGTCACGTTTTTTTTTTTTTTTTTTTTTTTTTTTTTTTTTTTTTTTTTTTTTTTTTTTTTTTTTTTTTGGACCATTTCTCGATTTATGTGTGTCGTCCTTGCGCAGGGGCCATTTGCTAATTTACCCTTCTCTGTATCGTTCCAATTTTAACGGATGTCCCGAAGGATTGTGTCACTTTAATTCTGTAGGACTTGTCACAAGTTGTCAGAGTACAAGGAACTGGATTGAACCTAACCCTCCCAACCTTCCCCCCCTCCCCTCCCCCCCTCCTTAAAACTCCGTGATAGGATTATCTGTGAAAAGGGAGTCACAGTTGTCAAGTTGGACTCTTGGAGGGAGTCCAAAAACTTGGGAAAAAGGTAAAAAAAAATAAAAAAATTATGTTTATAAACTTTATATTACTTTATAAATTATAATGCTTTTTTTTTTTTTTTTTTTTTTTTT